CACTGGCATACTTGTCAAGATACCAAAACTGACAAAACAGTAATTTAGATAAGGTGGGTTAGTTACTTGCTAGTACAGTACAGAGTTACGTTCGTCAGCTGCCATACCATCGTGCACTAGAACGCTTCAGTTTCTCACCTGAATAGTTTCTGAATAGTCTCACATTCTCTGCCATGTTTTAAGTCTTTTATTAACCACTTTTGCCATCTTCTACACGCTGATTCCTCCTTCAACTTATTCTTCCAGAATGCGCACTACCTTGCTAACGCTTGTATTCTGTGCAGTATGTTTTGCACTTCCGCAGAGCTCCAGTCGGGGAGTCTTGCTACAACATGATGGAGAGACGACAACCCATAGAAGCAGCGATATTTCTAAGCCGTGGTCGTATTTCAAAGACCTTATCAAGAAACATCAAGTAAGTGATATTTTTAACGATCAATACTACCGAAGAAGATATTTAGGCTTCATTTCACTATTACACACCAGTAGGGGTGAGATAGTCCAAAAAATCTTTTTCGCTGAAGAATCCATTGTGGGCGCTGGCGTCGCATTGTCACAACAGCTGTTTCCACCAAATTCGGTATAATCTTCTACATAGGGATTATTTGGTGTCCTGCAATACGAATATGACATCCGTTTGTTGTACTCGCGCGTTTACCGCATATTTTCTTCTATCTAGAGCTCTTTCCCTGATAGCGCCCAAGGCTGAGCTCAGGGGTGGGAGGTAACTCCGGAGTGGGTAAACCACGCACCGTGTGGCAAAAGTTGAGTGTGTGAGACCACAGGTGAGTGGCCTACTCACTTTGGAGCCCTCCACTATTCAAAGGCTTAGTCCTGATTGCGATCTAATTAGTGCGAGGGCGCAGACGAGCAGGAAATAGGCGCCAAATAGCGCAACAACAAAAACGAATGTCATATTCGTAATCAGGGCCCAAATAACCGCTATACACAAGTTTACAGCGAAGTTAGTGGTAATTAGTCGTGGCGCCACTTGGCTTTTCATCACTGAAGCCATCTCATCACTGCTGAGGTTGTAATAGTGCTATGGTGCCGATATTTACCTGACCAATCCTCGACGCTTCTCCGTATTGACGAATAGTGGGAACAGGCGTGATGTGAGAGTCACGTTCCAGCATTCATCAATTTGAAGGTTTCTTTGTGGAAGAGAAAAGGGAATTGATAATATCTGAAGGTGAAGTAAAAAGGCAGCCCACTAGAAAAACAAGAGAGGAGTCAAAGCGACGCAAAGCGGAGTGACAAAAAACAGAAATGCGCCGTAGGCGCGACACTTTCTGCTCATTGGTTTGAACATTGATGTCGCTGGTGCTCGAAAAAAATCGATCAACGAGAAGTTCAGTCTTTTTGCTCTGCTGATTGCTATATCTGCGGCAAAAGTCCCGACGAGCGCCGCGGGTGCGACATTCTAGGCGCTAGAGGGCAGAGAAAGGCAATGTTGGCGACGTACTAACTGAAATGCGAATACATCCCCCGCACTCGTGGGAATCCCCACTTTTTTTCATGTATATTCTTCGACCTTGCGAACTATGGTGGTATCCTCCATAGAAGGCGGATATAACGTAAAACAGCCGTTCACTGCAATGATAGCAGGGTGGTCAAAGGTGCAGATGTGACTTTCTGACAGCCGATTTGCGCTTCATGCGTGCCCCATCGGTGCTGAACTTATCAACGCCTTCTCTGCTGAATCGCTGTCTGGAGGCGAAGTGTAATGATTAGGTGTACAGGCGCGTATCTAGCACTGCTAGTCGATGGGCCATAAACCTTCGCTGCGAATGCTCCTATTCCTAACCAGGAAGGTCTCTCAAGGAGGGCTTAGCCTTTCCAAAATGATCTTACTGCATGATATGGAGGCACATGCGAGAACCCCAGAGTCATGCGTATTTTTCCTCAACGGCCATCCGTATCCCAAAAAGGAGCGTGGTTTGATTCCTTGTGGAGAACCAGAACGGCCCACTCTGGTGTCGCAACATTTTCACGGGCGAGTTTTCGCAGTGAAAGACTATTTGTAAGGATCCTACGCGTCCTGATGAAGAAACGCCTATCAAATGCTATGCTACATCCATTTTTGCGCGAATTTTGAAACGTCAACTCGAAATGCAAAAATTTGTTACCACGAGGAATCGAACTAGGGACCCCCTTTTTTGGTTTTCAGAGGGCCGTTCAGGAAAAATTAACATGGTGTGGATCCCACATCTGCCCCTATATCATGCAGAAGACCGTTTTGAAAAGCTTTGCACGCCCTGAAAGGCCTTCGTGGTTAGTAGGCCCGTCTTATCGTGGAGTTTTCCTTCAGGCAGAAAAAAGGAGATGAGAGATGTTTCAGAAGGTCCATACGTTCTTGTGTGCACGTTGGCCTGGATATGGTCAAAAGGATCGATGAATCCATTGATAATGAAGAGCTGAAAAAGGTAAACTATTTTTATAACTATAATCGATGTCTCTTTCAATTCTATCATTTAGCCAAATTCCTTAGCAGTTTCAGGATGGATCCATCTCTGTGACACTTGGTCCATAAAGAACCGAAAGAGCTTCTCCGCACTATTGTAAGGACACTATCGAGAAGATTTTGGGCTCTATCTACGAACAACTGAAGAAGCTTGAAATCAAACCAGAATTCTGCTCTCACATACGTCTTTGTGACTCCTGCGAGATCACATCGAGGTTTGTTGCTTTCGCGAAACGATAGCCGTTTTTTGCATATGGAGTTTAAGTACGCCTTGTGCGCTGAGTAGGTGAAAAGAATAGCAAGTTCCGCTTCGCATAAGCTGATATGACTCTCCCGAGCTTTGCTGAACATGGGGTGTTCTGAAAATCATTAAACTCTGAAATTGTAACAAAACTAAATTGCGTAGAAGGTACAAATGGTGTAAATATATGTGTAAAGCAGGGTAAATAACGGTCGAGGAAATCCTTGATTATGTCTCTGTACTGTGTGAGAATAGGAGCACAGACGGCTCGAAGGTGGGAGTGAATGCCCGTGCGAGAGAGCATGGCTGAACATAGGAAATCCCTTCAGAAACTGTTGACTATCCTCGACGCGATTTTCACCGCTGGCGGCAAGTATGCGCCCTCGCATTCGCTGCCAGCCAATACGAGCAGGAGCCCCATGCATTCAATTTCCTTACAGAGTGGATGGGACGTCTGAATTGCTTGGACAACGTTGGGTAGAGCAGGCTTTTTACATGCCGAGGTTTTTATCCTAGCAGCCAAGTATGTTTGGAAAGCACCAACAGCAGTACGGGAATGCGCTCGCCTGGCACACCGGAGTCCAAGCTATGATCCAAACAAGAGGATCTACGAACGTCGGAAGTCGAAGTAAGGGTGATATTCCCAGTGAAAAGGTAGGTGGACCCTCAAAGGTGCGGATCGACATGCAATTAGCACCGAAAGGTATCCTCGGCGATCTGGTTTCGTGCCCCTGCACTTTCACCGATTGGCTGACCCCTCACCGTCTGACTCTAGCGTCTGTTTGTGGCTACAAAGCGAAAAAACCGACTTCTGGGCCATGTGCCTGTTTGCTAAGTGGTGTTTTCATTGTATGTGATCTAGATCTGTTATGTGAAGAGAATTTGAGGTACATAGATTTCTGCCGACTACGCAGAGTTACGTGTGCTAGTTGTTGCGCACAGAGACCTGACGTAATTGCTTGACCCGAATCAACTCTATAGAAAGCACGAGATGTTCGTCGCTCCACCATAAAATTAAATTGGATTCTATTGGATAATTAGTCGGATTCTTCGAATATGCGAAGGATTGCATACCTGAATCCACTGTGAATTTGAGACAATCTCGGTGTCTTATCTTTGATTTCTTGAGGAGAACTGTTGTTGGCTCCCTACCCTTGTCAGCGGCGCTCCTATGATCTAACACTTACTTGGTGGCACTGGTTCGCCTCGTCATTTCGCTGAAGCGGATGACGACTGCCGCCGGGTCACGTGGAAAGAAGTGCAATTTTGGATGAGGTTTGATTATAAATGACCCTTTTCGGCGTGTCATTGACTCTTGCATGAGATCGCCGTTGAAGTTTTTGGTCTTCCTAGGTTTCACATAAAATTTTCGGATGATCTGTGACCTCACAAAATCATCGTTTCTAGGGAAGCATCCGACTATATTCTCCTAAAGCCTTCCCTCATTCATAGCTAGTGAATATATGTGAGATCAGCCACTGGGAGGTCTGTACAATTCACAAGGGTTAAAAATTTGGGCAACAAAAGAACGAGCTCTTTTCGATGGAATGGCGTCGTTAACTAACTTTACCCAGGTTTTCATAGAAATGTGCAAATGCATGGCGAAAAGATTGAATACAACAGCTGTGAGGGTTTCCACATCCTTTGTAACTTTCAGTTTAAGAGTGGTCGCTTGTCTCAAGATGTTCCCAGGAAGCATGTGAAATTAAGCAGAAGTATTCCTCTTTACTAAGTTGTCAGCTATAGGCCGATGTCAGACTTTGCGAATCGCGCGATTCGCTAGCGTCTGCGGTCGCGTCGCGGCCAGTGAATCACTCAATTGGCTGGTACCGCAACGCGACCGCGGACGCTAGCGAATCGCGCGATTCGCAAAGTCTGACATCGGCCTCTGGGGCGGGCTATCTTACCATTTTTGGGACCAGCGTTGAGTGCATAAATCTACACTAGGAGCAGCTTAAGAATGTACTTTTTAGTTTGAAAGCATTGAAAAAAGGTGTATTTCAGGAGCACTGCCGACGACACATACCTAGCCAGAAATTGCAAGCAATCCAGCACTCCTGTTTGTCCAAGTCACCGAACTGCAAACTATACTAACACAATTCGCCACCAAAGAAATGCCATATGGTAACTAGTTCGGCAACTATTCTATAACGAATAAATCTCATTCACATCTCACTTGCTGGTTCTTTGTTAGAGGCATATCCCTGCAGTCAAACTCACTTTTCAATCACTTCTTGAGTGGGAAAGAGCCACTCACAAACGAAAATGTATGCTGTGCTGGTCGCTGTCTTCTCGCCTCGTCACCAGTTGCTACAGCTGGTGTTAGCAGACGTGTGGACGATGGCGCGCCGAAAGACTTAGCTCGTGCACCTACTCCCCGCGTCGCAGCAGCTTCGTGACAATACCAGGTTACTCGTCTTGTGGCAGTCCTTCAACATCCCAAAGAAAGAAGCCTCGCTCTCAATGTGCCTTTTCGCAAAGGTTCTCCGTTTTTCTCCACTGGCGGTCCCTTTGCAGCCTCGTATAACTTCGTATTTCCGAGGCGGTTGATACCTGCGGATCGTGGATCACTTAATGATAAAATCGAATATGCGTTTGATAGAATACGAGCTCCTCTAACTTCTGAAATGAAGATGGGCAGTTTGAATCAAAAAATATCGAAAAATACTACTCTGAAGTGGAAATATTATTTTAAAGCGTTGGTAGCAGTGCTATTCTTAAACTTCCCACCTTAGCTATTCTTAGATCGTGATAATAATTGATTATTGCCCAGATTGCTAACCTGGTGTTACGTTCCTTAGCCCAGTGCGCTTCACTGGAAATGCGTACTATGCGAATCTGTAATGCAGTTGATATCATTTTTTCAGTTTAAAACCTATAGGTGCTAGGTTGTAACGAAGATATAGTGAACAACACTCCTTGAAATTCTTCAGGCTTTTAATTTCTTCTCACGCTAGACAGGAAATATAGTGTGCTACCACCCCCTCTATTTCTGAAAACGTGAAGAGAATCGAGTAGAGATCACCACCACAAAAAGACGACGGCCAAGAAGAACGTGGCTTTTTTGTTTATTTTACTTGGCCGTTGTCACTTGTGGTGTGTGGTCTGCAGTTGACGCTGTTCTCGTTCTCGGAAATAGGGGATACGTGTATGACGTTGTAGCAAAATCAAGCAACGCTTGAAGGCAAAGTTTCGGGTTCAGACTCACCTAAGAAGCCTTCACCATGGCTCAGAAGCTGCTGACATGAATACATGCAAAGGTAGCACCACCTTTCTACGACGAGACGCGCGCCGCTAGGACCCTAGGCGTCATGGACTTCTAACAGACTCCACCAAACTTAACATGGTCCGCCCACCGTTCGATATCTTGTCTGCGTCGCCACGTTGATGTGCTATGCTCTCTCTTCTCGGACTTCTCTACCACTCTCCGCGCTCACATAATCTCTCACCTCCCTGCCTGTCTTTTGAACATCTCCACAGCATGGAGCAAAATGCTCATATTTCCTATGTATTTCAGGATTTTCTGAGTAAGTGGCCCTTTCCTCAACACGACGATCCACTCCTCCTCCACCACCTACTATTCACTTTGAGTAGATCACCCTATAATTTATCCGTGATTCTTCTCTTTAAAACTGGGCGGGCACGCAGTTTCGTTGGCGATAATCGCTGACGTCCGAAGCGCGGTCACTCCCTGACAAGTTTTGAAAATGGCATCGTATATCAAACCTCAATTAAGATAGAGGGCAGAGAGTAATGACAGACAGATCAATTGATCATAAAGCCGCAGGAAGTTCATACATAATGTTCTGATCTGGTATGAATTGAGCACGCTTCCGGGTGCTCCTGCTTCTAGAATTTCTACTACAGGAAACAGATGATCAGAATCCCTCATTATTACTATCTATAGCTTCCTGAACAGAATCCTTTCAGCTAGCTCATGGTTAGCGGGTAGTGAAACTATGCTTTCAGAAATTATGTATGTATGCAATCATTGAAGCGAGAGGTTACTTTAAAGTGCGTGTGCAGCGTGGAAGCACATGCACCAGTGGAACCAGTAGCTAGAGGGCCAGGGAAGCGTTTTTGTGGCACAAGTGCGTTAGCTTCAGCGACTGAGCTTACCATTCCTTTCTAATCTCCGCCCAGCTCATCTCCCGCCAATATAATTTTGATGAGTATTCCAGCTCGATTACGGATTGGTTCCTGATGCCCCATTCACGCTCAACGGAACGAACATCACCGAATGCTCCAGCTACGTGTACCTAGGTCGGGAAATCAATATGATGAACGATCTAGCTCCAGAGCTGAGCAGGAGGAAACGAGCGGCTTGGGGAGCGTACAAGAACATCGAGGGAGTAGTGAAGAAGACGAAGAACATCCGGCTCCGTGCCCACCTCTTCGATTCCGCTGTCCTTCCTGCCCTAACCTACGCCTCAGAGACTTGGACTCTGCGCAGGCAGGACGAGCATGCGGTCAGCGTTATCCAACGCGCTGTCGAGAGGACGATGCTAGGAGTAACCCTATACACGCAAGTGCAGAGGGGAATCCGGAGTGCCGAACTACGCCAACGATCGAAGATAGGCGAG